GGGTTTAGGGCTAGGGCTCAGGGTTTCGAAGGGCATTCAGCAGGGCTTTACAGGGTTCAGGGTATTCAGAAGCGTTTGGCAGAATTCCCGTACGGCTTCTATGATGTAGTGGCCGAAATAATTACCAACACTATTTTGGGGAGTTCCTTGTTACAAATAGAGCATAGTGGGCCCCAAAGCCCTATTCTAATTATTCAGGCCCCTAAATCCGAAACCCTTGTAGTAGCCCTTAAAGGACGCCTTTAAGGAACCCGGTAACGAACTTTATGAAATCCTATTCTAATTATTAAGGCCCTTATCTTATAGAACCTTTCTAGTAGCCCATATAGAACCCTTTCAAGGAACCTTATGAAACCCGATTCTAACTATTAAGGCCCCTCCATTACAGCGGTTTCTCTTGTTTCCATAGAGGTTCTCCACGGGTTTTATGCGGTCTGTGCAGGGCTTTCTGCGGGTTTAGGGGTTGAGGGTTTATGGGGTTTAGGGTTTAGGGTTTAGGGAGTTTAGGGTTTATAGGGTTTAGGGTTTAGGGAAACTCTGCCCTGAGCAGTTTCACGGGCCTTAAACCCTAAGCCCCAAATAGGACGATTATCCTAGCTTGAGAAAGGGTTCAGGCGGTTTAGGGTTTCAGGCTTTGGTATTTCATTTGGGATTTCGGACATCACGGCTTACGGTTAGGCCCCTGAAGTTCTTGGATTCAGCAATTCGGGTTTGCGCCTTGTGTTCTTGCAGATGCGCTCGTCCAAGGTGCAAGCGCCTGTGGCGCAGCTGGTCAATGGCAGACGCTTGTCTGTGCGTTGCTCCTCAAACCATCGTAGGTTGTGGCGATGCCGAAGCTTATTATAGTTATAGTATAATATGCCCCCAAACCCTATTCTAATTATTAAGGCCCTTGTATTATCTGAATTTCCTTGTGCTTTGTGGCAAGTCATCCCTGCATCCAGTGCTGACAGCAGTGCTGCTTCAAGCCTGGCTACAACCTGAACCCTAAACCCAAACCCTAAACCCTAAACCCTAAACCCTAAACCCTAAACCCTAAACCCTAAACCCTAACTCTACATCCGAATCTGGCCCGAACCCAAGTTCCTAGAATCCCTGTAGGAGCCTAAATCATTCCCAATATTCTTGCCAGGGCTCCTTATTGCAAACATACTACAAAAGGAGGCCAAGACCCTATGCTAATTTTTAAGGTCCTTACGTTACACCCCTAACGCTCAACTCCAGATCCGAGGATACAGGGCTCGAGGCACTTAGAGCAAAGCCCAGAAAGTTGGAACGTGGGTTTCGGAGGATCAGTGCTAGGATCCTTTCTACTTTACCTTAAGGGCATGAGGATAATGAGGTTCCAATTTTCTGGCTTCTACTCCAGCCGCAAAAGAGAGGAGCTCAAGAGAACTTTAGCAGCCAGGCGAGCCTGAGGAGTTTCGGGCTAGGGTTTAGGGTTT